TTGTGCTTATTTTATAGTAATTTTTACTTTAATTTCATAGTGGTTTTCGATAAATTTAGTGGTTTTCGATGTGCATGTAGTAGATTTCAATTTTTTTAAATATAAACCATTTAAAAAAGTGAAGAAAAAAAAAACCAAAGTTTGTTTTAAATTTATATAAAAAAAACTATTTAAAAAATAAAAAAAACAATAGTAAAACTTAATGCGTGAGAGGGGAGAAAAACTATTTAAAAAATTAAAAAAAATATAGTAAAACTTAATGCGTGAGAGGGGAGATAATTGGGGATTATGTGGGAGAAAATAGGGGGATTTGCATATCTACCAAAAAAATAATGGCTTTTTTAAAATAATATAATATAGTAATTTTTAGTAATATTAAATAGGGGTATTTTGGATAATTCCAAACAATTGGATTTATAACAAATATCAATTAAAAAAATGGATTTATTAACAAGTCAAAATTAAATGAAGGGTGTTTGTCATATAGCCCCTAAAAAAATTATGAGATTTAGTTACGAAACAACAAATCTAGTAATTGCAAATATAACAATAAACCAAATAAGACTGCAAACAAGAAACTTAAAATGTCAAACTACAAACAACACCACACAAAAAACTTCTGACATGAAACTGCAAACAATAAATAACAAACATGAAACCGTAAAGAAAAAAAAGTTTCTTTAGCAATAAACCCCTCGTATGAATAATAAATGGTGATTTGTCTAACCCTAACATCTTATTTTGCGATAACCCCCTAAAATTTTTAATTCCAATACTATCCTTCAGAAATTATAAATCTCCTACCCAATGATTCATCCCACTTTCCTTAATAATGCCAATATAATAGGGATTTTCCCCCACTCAATATCCTACCTCATATCCCACGTCTGTATAGTATTCTTTTTTTCTTTTTTTCTTTTTTTTATAATTTTTTTTTTAATATTTTTTTAATTCTTTTTAAATGAAAAATTGATTTTTTTTTCCTCGATAAGTTACTACGCCGAATATAACTATAGTTGAATATGACTATATTCGAATATGACTATATGTCACTATATCAACCGTATATCATATTCTTTCTTTGTATTGCCATTTTTTTTACTTTTTCAACTTTAAAATTTCGATTATATAGTGTTACAGTCATGTTTAACTAATTATATAAAAAAATAAAGATTGGCTATTATTTACGAAAACAATCCAATCAACATCAAACACAAAATACCACAAATAATTTGAATCTTGTTATTATAAGTCAACTTGAAAAGAGAAGATATAAAGGTTTGCAATTGGGGTGAGAAACGAGGACCATAGTTGAATATGGCAACAATCATATTCAACTATAGTCATATTCTCCGAAATGCGCGGTAACGGACAATCAACGCAGTGTTGGAATTTTCATGATTTCCAATAATTAATATTGAGTAATATTAATTTAATTATGTAAAGATTAATTTCATTTATTTACTTGATCAAAATCATGAAGTAAAGTGAATGAAAATTGTCTTGATTAAATGGTTAAAGTTCAAAAGATGTGCGCTCGGTGTGATCGAGTGATAGGACTAGTTTGGGTTTAGGTGTCCACAAATATCACTTTTGGGGACATTTAGTAATTAGTCAAATTAATTGACCCAAAATCTAAATAATAAAATATTTGGCTCAAACCAAATATTTAATTAATTGGCCCATGACCAATTAATTTTCCTACGCTTTTTGAACTCGTAAAAAGAAGAGACACATCCTTCTGCTTCTTTTCAAACCATTGCAACCCTCTGTGAATGGATCTCTACAACCTATAAATAAAGGCAGAATCTGGCGAATTCTGTACTGAATTTAATCGGCAATTGAGAGATAGTTCTTCATATTTTTCTTTCTCTTCGTCAAAGTTCCGTTCGTTGTTCAAGTTCGCCGTGGCTCGAATATTCGTGCAAATATTCGACAACCGATCGTTGTACCTTGGGAGACTACCGGGAAGAGACTGTGCACCGTTGACAGCCCGGAAATATTGTCTTAAGGGAATTGCTTCGGCAAGCCTCGATCGTTCTTTGTGGTTTTCACAATTCCTCTTTTCGACAAACAAGTAAGTATTTTTCGTTTACGCAGATTGTTATATAATTATACCAACACTCTTAAGACAATATATAGTTTCAAATTTTAAAACTTTCTGCGTACATCATATTTTATATTGGAAGTCTGCACAGAATTTTGTTTTTCTTTTTGACGTAGAAAAATCCATGCTCAAGTAAATCTGATTTTTCTATACTCACCATGTTCTCTGGTTTTATAAAGTCCGCGTGGATCTGGTGTGTTTTGTCCAAAAGTTTTGTTAAATCTTTTCTCAAAAACCAGTGCGGTAATCTGTTTTCCATTTAAAAATATATATATGTTCATACATTTTATATTGAAATGGTCTTCTGTTGTAATCAACAAATTATATATGTGAAGACAAAAAAAAAAAAACATTTTCTGTTAGCATATAATTCTGATATTATTTATTTGAGTATGTATTATCGGCAATCGGAAAAATATGTTGACAAAAATTTGAATTTGTGATGTGCGTTCAGGCTTTGTAATCATTGGTTGTTTTACTGCATTAAAAATACCATTGTGTATTATCAAAATATGTGAATAGAACTTTAATTGGGCAGACATTTGCATGTCATTGCACTTGTTTTTCATATACTTTAAATTCTTCTATTTTAAACCGTTGTTTGGATAAATTCGTGTAGATGGCTTCAATCAATGATGCCACTCCTAAGGTCGTCGGCGCGGCCGAAAAACCGAACAAGTTCACGGGCACAGACTTTGCTACTTGGAAGAACAAAATGTTCTTCTACCTTACTACAATGAATTTGGCTAAGTTTCTCAATGAGGAGGCACCTAAGGCGAATGAAGGAGAAACTCCCGAAAATAACAAGGAAGTCTTCCAAGCCATTGATGCGTGGAGTCACTCTGATTTCCTATGCCGTAACTACATCTTGAATTGCTTGGACGAACCGTTGTACAAAGTTTATAGTCCTATAAAGACTGCTAAACTTTTGTGGGATAGTTTGTCCAAGAAATACAAGTCTGAAGATGCGGGTTATAGGAAATTTATAGTGGACAAATTCCAATTTTATCGAATGGTCGATAGCAAAACTGTGAGTGAGCAAGTGAATGAACTTCAACTCATGATCTACGATATTCTCGCCGAGGGTCATGAGGTGAGTGAATCCTATCAAGTGGCTTCCATAATTGGAAAGCTTCCACCGAGTTGGACGGAGTTCAAACACTACCTAAGGCACAAGAAATCGGTTGCCAAATGGACGATGGAGGAACTCATAGCAAGGCTCAAGACCGAGGAGGATAATAAAATTACCGACAAGGGTGGTCAATTCGTGGCTAAGGCACATGTGGTGGAGAGCTCGAAGCAGAGCAACAAGCGAAAGAGTCTTACATGTAACAAAGGACCAAATAATAAGAAGAAGAGGTTCACGGGGGCGTGCTTCGTTTGTGAAAAGAATGGACACCTTGCGAAGGATTGTCGCCACCGCAAAGAAAATAATAAAAATGAAGCGAATGTCACCATTGACTTAGCCGCTTCCGAGAACGACAACATGCACTTTTCGGCAGTTGTAACAGAAGCCTACCTAATGAGCGATACTCGAGGATGGTGGGTAGACACCGGGGCTACACGTCACATTTGCTATGACAAGAGCATGTTCTCCTCCTACAAAAAGTTGGAGCAAGAACAAAAGCTCTTCATGGGAAATGATGCTTATTCGGTGGTTGAAGGACAAGGACAAATGATCCTAAAATTCACTTCCGGAAAGAAAGTTACCTTGAACGATGTGCTACATGTTCCGGATATTAGGAAGAACTTAATCAGTGGTTCTATCCTAACCAAGAAAGGTTTCAAGTTGGCTTTTGAGTCGGACAAATTTGTGCTAACCAAAGGAGGGTTTTACGTCGGAAAATGGTACCTATGTGACGGTCTCTTTAAGGCGAACGTAGCCGTTATTCGCAATAACTAAGCTATTAATAATATTAATAATAATTAGCTTATTTGATTATTTTTCTATTGTATTATGATCAGTAAGATTGTATTATATTTTAAATATCTACGGTCTATAAGTTTATAATACAAATGTTTTAAAAAGTTTTAAACCAGTATATTGCGTTTGCCTAATTTGGTGTTTGTTATAAAGTCTGTATAAAATTGTTCACATATATATTTTGTTAATCAATTTAACATTTGCATAAATGATACTTTGTTCTTGGAAAATGTGTTCAAGAAAATATTTTAGTATATCTACTACGTGTAAAACTTTCATTTTAATAGCTTTAACAGTACAAAGTTTTACAAGATGAGAATTTCGTCTTAATGGTCGTTTAAATAATTTTGTGCACAAATTATTTAAAAACTCATGTGATCATTATGCCTTTCAACTTTCTGGTTTATTTGTGAAATATAGAAAGTTGGTTATATTATTGTGTTGCAAATATTTGTTTAAATAAAACTGGGTTTTATTTGGAAAAATATAAATATGAAATTTGCGTTGAGGCAAAGTTTGCGAAACAAATTGAATTAAGACGAGCTTAAAATATCTAGGGCCAAATCACATCGACTTATGCGATTTTGAGTCAATAATAACTATAAATGGGAAAAATATTTCATCTATGATTGTATGAATCCGAATGTATCGGAGAAATTGTGGGGGAGCTCTCTTTATGTCAAAAATAATGAGCTAATTGCACATAACCCCCTGTGTAATTTCGAATTGCCGAAAAAGTCCTCGTGTTAAAAATATTAGCAAGGACCCCCCTATGTTATGTTTTACGAAGCACACCGCCCCTTACGTCAAAATTGATGGTTGACTTGTATGTAATGACTAAACTAACCCTAGTACGTTCTTAGTAATTTTCACAGTCACCACAAACCGTTGACCCCACAAAAAACAGTTCCCACCATTTTCCACGTGTCAATCTCTCACACTTCTTCACTCCCGCCGAATAAAATAACTAAATTACCACTAAATAAACAAACCGAGTTAATTAACCTAGCTCGGCCGCCCGGTCTAGAAACTGGCCCGTTTCAGCGACGTCACGGTAACGGCGGCGCCGAGCGGCGACGCCGCAACCTCAATATCGAACGAGTCGTACCGTCGGAACAGCTCCACCAGCAGCAGCCTCAAAGCCAGCACAACGAAATCCTTCCCGGCGCACTGTTTGTTGTTCACGGAGGGGGCCCCACTCTCCGGCCCGTTCGACCAGAGCACGTGCTTCATCATCTCCTCCCCTTCTTCCCCGACGAACCGGTCCGGAACAAACTCATCGGCCCGGTCGAATATTCTGGAATCTTTCGTGGCAAACGGCTGATACCCGTACAGCATATCCCCTTCCTTGATCTGAAACGCGCCGTCGTGCGATTCGATCACGAAGTCCCGCTTTGCCTTGCCGTACTGCGACGACACCGGCGGCTCGATCCGGAGGGACTCGTACACCACCGACTTCATCAGCGGCATCTTCTCCATCGCCGCCATGGTTTTGGAATAGAAATGAGATATGGGTTTGGTTGATAGTTTTTGCTGGAAAAAATCATGGTGAAAAATTGGAGAGGTGCTCTTGAATGTTGAAGAAGATGGCTTAATTGAAAATATAAAGGACTCAATTGAAAATCTTAAAAACTTCATTTTGGTACTTATAAAATTTCTGGTTGCATTTTGGTATTTGGTATCGAAAAAAAAACCCCACTCTCATCCATGGCGAGTGAAGTGCACGGTGAGCTCTTTAGGGCCTTATTGCCTTTGACTAATTTTTATAGGGGGGTATTTGCTAATTGTTTTAACACAAGGTCTTTTTCAGCAATTAGAGATTACACAGGGGTGGTTTTTGCAAAAAACCCCAAAAATAATATAATTCCTTATGAGTTAGGAAAACGTCAAAATTGATTATAAATATTTAAAAATGTGGGGGCGTTCGACCACGAGTTAATCTATTTTGAAGGAAATTGCGAGCCAATATAATTGGATATTCATATTAGAAATAATCAATTAACAATTGCTCTCATACTTTTTAATAAGGTAAGTCTTGACATATTCGTCGTAGACACAATACCGTGAGACATTTAATCTCTAATGGAATAATTTCCATTGATTTTGTGAAATCCAAAGATAACCTAGCGGATTCATTTAATAAAGGTTTATCTAGCGAGAGAGTTAAATGTGCGTCGAGGGGAATAAGTTTAAAGCCTATATAACTAAGTTACCTTATACGGAAACCTAACTTGGCGACTGGAGATCCCACGGACCAAGTTCAATAGGACAACCAGTTCTGTGTAACTTAAATGAATGGAGCACTTAGGAGTTTTAACTCCATCTTATTTCTATGATGCAATAAGTGCAACCAACGACGTTCAAAAAGGTTAAGCTATTGCTTTTAATGACGTCTATATCTTGTAAATTACAAGTGGGGGTATAGTAGGATACTCTTTATAGATGCGATCACCTATGTTAGTGTGAGCTGGGTCGGCTCGTTGAGAATTCTTAAAGGCTGGAATTCTCTAAAGCACTCGCAGAACCCGAGGATGTTCAGGGCCAAAACGAACACAACCGAGAACTTGAACAAGTTTGTTTAGTATGGTGTTAAGTTTATTGTCTTGGTTTACACAAACAGCCGACGGTTCAAGATGAAATAATTCACCGATTGACTAAGTAAATCCGATAAGCTTTAGCTAGGGAAGGTTCAAGATGAAATATTTCACCTATCCCGATACTGTACTATTCACTAAGGAATTTTGACAAATAGATCTTATGCTATAAGATTGGAAGAACAATTTTATTCATGTGGGGGATTGTTGGAATTTTCATGATTTCCAATAATTAATATTGAGTAATATTAATTTAATTATGTAAAGATTAATTTCATTTATTTACTTGATCAAAATCATGAAGTAAAGTGAATGAAAATTGTCTTGATTAAATGGTTAAAGTTCAAAAGATGTGCGCTCGGTGTGATCGAGTGATATGACTAGTTTGGGTTTAGGTGTCCACAAATATCACTTTTGGGGACATTTAGTAATTAGTCAAATTAATTGACCCAAAATCTAAATAATAAAATATTTGGCCCAAACCAAATATTTAATTAATTGGCCCATGACCAATTAATTTTCCTACGCTTTTTGAACTCGTAAAAAGAAGAGACACATCCTTCTGCTTCTTTTCAAACCATTGCAACCCTCTGTGAATGGATCTCTACAACCTATAAATAAAGGCAGAATATGGCCAATTCTGTACTGAATTTAATCGGCAATTGAGAGATAGTTCTTCATATTTTTCTTTCTCTTCGTCAAAGTTCCGTTCGTTGTTCAAGTTCGCCGTGGGTCGAATATTCGTGCAAATATTCGACAACCGATCGTTGTACCTTGGGAGACTACCGGGAAGAGACTGTGCACCGTTGACAGCCCGGAAATATTGTCTTAAGGGAATTGCTTTGGCAAGCCTCGATCGTTCTTGGTGGTTTTCACAATTCCTCTTTTCGACAAACAAGAAAGTATTTTTCGTTTACGCAGATTGTTATATAATTATACCAACATGCAGGATGACCTGTCAAACAACGCACAACAATTTCAATATTATGTGAAAAAATAGAATATCGAACTTAATTTGAAATGTGATCGGATAAAACAATGTTTCATTCTTCTGTATGATAAAACGAGAAGCTTAGCTACCTCTTCTTCGGTTGTACGATGGAGGCCCTTCCATTCTTTGAGAACAAACTCGTATAGGTTTTGAATGGCATCTTCCATCTTCGAATTCGTGAGAATTGATCGGAACCACTCTTCCTCGTCATCATATACTATGTTATTCGTGATTCGCGCAACAAACAAAAAATCAATAAATCACTAATCGAGTGAATCAACAATAGTCATATTAGAAGCAGACTATAGTCACGTTATTGCTGCTGGTTCAGATCTGGAAAAAAAAAAAAAAATTGAAAATAACAAAAGGAAGGGTGGGGGAGGCGACGACAACGACGGTGAATGAAAGAGAGAGTGAGGGAGGCGGCTACGGTGGTTGTGGTGGACGTAAATGAAGAGAAAAAAAACTGTGAAATCGAGAGATAATAAAAAAAGGGAATCTCCAGCATCCAACGAAAGGAGGCGACGAGGTGGGGGAGGCGCCGCCACCACCACTTGTACCAGGCGTCGATGTGGTGGTGTTGGACGAGGGGGAGACGACCTCAAACATCGGCGGAGGAGGGCCTCCTGTATCGAGTCTCTGCCAGCTGGTGGTTGAAGGGTATTGTTGGCTCTGGAGGTGACAAGTGCGCGAACAACGGTGGCATCTCCGAGGCGGACGCTAGATGTAGTGGGGTGAGCGGCTGTGATCGGTGGCTAGGGTGAGCGGACTACAGTGATAGTGTGAAAAAGAGGAAAAGGACGACGGTGTGGTGGTTACAGATCTGCTGGAAAAAAAAAAGAGAAAAAAAAAAACAAAGAAAGAGAGAAGTTGAGAGAGAGAGAGAGATACAGGAAGAGTGAGAAATAAAATTGTACTACGTTAAAAACCTAACACATATGGGCACTTTAATCTTATCATATCTGGTAAGGGAGGTCTCACTAATTTAAATTTAAAATTGGGTTATAAGAAAAGTCTCTAAAGTAAATTGGGTTTAGTTCAAACTATTTTCTAAATGAGGGGTATTATATATTAGCCCAAGAAAAAAATTCATACATAAAACTAAAATAAGAAACTTCTAACATGAAACTGCAAAAAACAAATAACAATTTGCAAAACAGCAAGCACACTGACAAAAATAATAAATTGGTTAAAACAAACATAAATATGATTAAAACACAAAAAAAAATTAAAAAAAAAAAAGAAAAAAAAAAAACCAAATCACATTGGAAACAGTACATGCCAAACAAGCATTCGCACACAAGAAACTTCAAAACATAATTTTTAAACAAAACAAACAAAAATAAAGCAATAAAATACAACATGAAAATAACTTATTGCACACAATGTTAAACGAAGGCTGGAACTATTTGCAATCTCAAAATTTCTAAGGGCAAGACCTTACTTCATGCAAGATCAAGATATCGATAAATTTACTAAGAGTAAGACTGAAAATTACAAATATAACCCCAATATTAAATTTGATATTATTAATTCAAAAAAGTCCTGATTGTTATTGCAAGACCAAGAAAGAAATTTTAAAAAAAAATATGAAAAATGACCATTTTTCTTCACCAACAAAACCCAACCTCTTCTTCTTCACACTCATTTTCTACACGTTTTCTCCAAAAAAACTCTTTCATATTCTCCAAAAACTATCATCAAACAAAACCCTCAAGTCTTACTAAAAATTGCAAATGAGGATATTATGGACATACTAGACATCTGAAAGAATTTATGGTCTCGAATTCGTTTAATACAGAGGTGTTATATTAAGTGTTATGACACTTGTATAAACATGCAGCGGAAATATAAAAACAATACTCAGATTTAAAAATGTTCACAAGTAAAATTTGGGAACTTGCCATTTAAATGACGTAAAAATTATATTAAAACAGTATTACAAGAATACAAAGAGAAGTACAAGAACTTCTTTCTTATGAATGAATCACTATCTTGATCATTCTTAGTACCAAATCTAGAAACATAAAAACTATATACTAAACAATCTAGACTACAAAGAATGTACTCATGAGGAGTACTTATAACAGATTCTAAAAACACACTAAAACTCTCATGTATCTTCTTCAGCTCTCGGTTTTTGTTTTTTAGAATCGATAAACTTCCTTGAGTCTTGAATCCGGTATTTATAGACATTCCAAGCTTCCACTCCTTAGCCCATGATCTGTAAGAAAACCGACAAGAAGAACACTCAAGAACATGGGTTAGTGGGTTAGTTTAGTAGATAATATAATATCCTCAATTTAGCACACTAAGCATTATACTTAGCCCACTAAACACTACTTATTCTATAACTAAAATTTAGTTTAAAAATAAGAGAGTTAAAAACAAATTGTGGAATTCCACGTGTTTCAACATCAATATGGATGATTCTAATGTGAAGAACACAATGGGATAAGAAATATTGAACTTTCTTAAGCTTTGTGATCGTTTTTCTCGTTTTTCAAAACTAATTTCCCGTACACAAAAATTCGACGTTTATAGGCCAATATTTAGCTATAAAAATGACATTATAGTGTGGAATTTTTCAGTTTCTGAAAAAATCGACGCCGGCATGTTGTTTTAATTGCTAAAAATCGACACAATGATGTCGAATTTTGAACAAAATATCGACACACAAATGTCGAAAAAAGTGCAAAGAATCGACAACTTATTGTCGAAATTTAGTGAAAAATTCGACACCAG